TAAACTTTTTGTTATTGAAGCAGTGTATGAATTTCAAGTCCTGGTATGGCACTGTGGGATAAGCACTGGATTGTTAACTGCAAGGTTGATGGTTCAAACCCACCAGCTATTCCTCGGAAACCCTATGCAGAGTCACTATGGGTTGGAAGCTACTCAACGACACTTAAAAACAACAGCATTTACTAGCTACTAATAAGAATTAAAATTTGGTTGTAAAACTGGTACTCCAAATACCCCACTTTCCAAACAGATTTTTAGACTTGGTAATAGATAATAGATTTACTGGTTAGTGTTTTCAAATTGGTTCTGACTCATAGCGACCCTGTATAGGATTTCCAAGGAGCGGCTGGTGAGTGTGAACTGCCAACTGGTACAAGTTTTGAAATTTTGTTTTTATTGTAATAATATGAATTTTGTTACCGTAATATGAGCTTGATGTAAGATTGTTTTACAAAAAGATAATCATTGCTTACTTGACTTGAGGTACAAATGAATCAAAACTTTTGCTTTGTCATTTGCCATATGTTTTCTCATATTTCTTTGAGATCTATAATTCCAGTCTCTGTGATCCATCCTGCACTATTGATGTCTTGTAGAAAATGTGTCTACCTTTATAGATAGTGCAATTAATATAAACAGTGATAGAAATAATAGATATAAATAATGACTCTAGGTTTTACATTTTTCTTCCTTCATTATTTTATTCAGTTGATGCAACTTTTTAGCTCAGGATCATTCATTCTGAAACTTTTTTACTGTGTATCCCTTTAAGAGGATGGGCTTTTGTTTGAAGCCGTGACCTGTAACTCTGCTCATCGCTCCAAGACATAAAAGAAAGGTGTCTCTGCCACCACACATATCCGCAGCAAAAGCAGTCTCTGTCCTTTGGGGCTAAAAAGTGAACGGCTGCAGTCCTGGAGCCAGTCTTTCAAAGGCACAGCTGAGCCATTCAACTCAAATAAGAAAATGTAAGAAAAGGATTCTTTCAACTCAAATGGGTGAAAGAAGAGGAACACTGAGAAACTTCAGGACAGTTTGTGAAGTGTTAATGCCTTTACCTATGTCTGTAAAGGGGGACACTATGACTTAGATGACCTGATTTTGTCTTCTTTCTCTTCGATCCCTGATCATTTTAATCAAATTTCTTTCATAGAAATCAGTGTCCACTGTCATGCATGGGTACATCTGACCTGTCAGTCTAATGTCTTCAGTTTATTTTCAACTGATGGCTGACAGAAAGCATGCAGTAAAATCTATTTGATGGCCTTTTGACAATTCAACTAATTGTTGTTGTTGTTGTTAAGGGCCATGGAGTCAGTTTGAGTTACAGCGACCCTGTATAAGGTTTCCGGAGCTGTACATCTTTGCAGGATCCTCATCTTTCTCCTTCAGAATGGCTGGTGGATTTGAACCCCTAACCTTGTGGTTTGCAGTCCAGTGTTTATCCTACAGAGCCATTATACTTCCCAAATCAACTAATTGTTGTTAAGTGTTGTTGAGCCGGTTCCAATTCATAGCAATCCTGTATAGGGTTTTTGAGGAGCAGATGGTGGGTTTGAACCACCCATCTTGTGGTTCAAACCAACCTTGAGGTCCGGCGCTTATCCTTCAGCACCATACCAGGATAATTAGTTGGATAAACACTTTGTTGGCTAACTGAACATGCAGTGCTCAAGGTGTTTGTCCACATCTCCCTTTGCTTAACATAAATTTTGTTTTTCATGTTGAATATTCTCTTTTTGTGCACTGTTTTCCTGTGCATATTTGAACTGAAATGAGGAGAATGGTGGGAAGCATGCAACCTCCCCCCCCAGCAAGATATCTACATGTTGCTTTTTTAGCTTTCAAAGCCTTTCATCTTTCTCAGTTTCAGATGTTCACTGTATACGTTATGTGTGATCTCCTAATGTGTCACAGTTAAGTTTTGATCCTTACTTTAAACATGATAGAATATCTCTTGGACTTGAAGGGTTTTCCTGATACTCTTTCAGGATCTGAGAGAAAATTGGTAGAAGTGTTTAGGTGAGTACACACTTATGTCCATGTAATTAATGTTTCAGCCAAGTGTTATTTAAACCCTGGAAGAGAGGCCTGGTGATACACTTCCTAAAGGCCTGGTAATACACTTCCTATGGAGTGCAGTTCTACTCTGAAACACACGGAGTCGTTGTGAGTCAGAATTGACTTGTGGCAACTGGGGTAGGGATTAAGTCTTAAGGTCTACTCTATGCTCATGACTTTGTTACATTCGAGGTAATACAAAGCACAGGAGTTGTTTACGTTGCTGGAGCTTACAAATTTGAGGCTTTTAAAATAACCTGCTACATTTGATGGGGACCCAGAAACTCAGGACATACTGACAGAGTTCTGTGATCCTCTGTTTATTTTGTGTTTGTTGTTCTTCATGTAAAATGTAGTTAGATTGAAACATGTCTATATGCACTTGTTAACTGCTGTCGATTCTCGTTTCCAAACCACAGCCACCCTGTATAGGGTTTCCAAGGAGCAGCTGGTGGGCTTGAACCACTGACTTTGTGTTCAAACGACTTTGCAGTCCAGTGCATTAGCCCACAGTGCTAGACCAGGACTCCCTACATGCACTAGGTAGTAGTATAATCTTTGGGGGAATGTGTGCTCTTGCCCATTTTAACACACAGCAATTGTGAGTAACTGGAAGTTTAGAGCTGGGTATTACAAAGTCTGCTTTGTTAAATATTAATTCACTAGGTTGTTAATAAATATGTTTTTTAAAAGCCCATTGGCCCAGGATCAGGCAGTGTTTCGTTCTGTTGTGCATAGGGTTGCTATGAGTTGGTACTGACTCGATGGCACCTGACAACAATAACAGTTGCCCTCATGTTGATTCTGATTCTTAGCAACCCTGTAGGACAAAGTAGAACTGTCCCATTTGGTTTCCAAGGCTATTCATCTTTATAGATGCTACATCTGATTGCCACATCTCTTTCTCCTGTAGGCTTCAAACCTCTGGTCTCTTAGTTAGCAGTTAAATGCACAACTAGTGGACTAGCAGGGCTCCTGCATAGAGTATGTTTTTGTGTTGTTAAATGCCTTTGAGCTGATTCTGGTGGGTTTGAACTTCCAACCTTGAGGTTTATACCGACCTTGCAGTCAGGTGTTTATTCTACAGTGCTACACCAGGACTTGATTGTATAGTGTATGTTGTTGTTGTTAAGTGCCGTCAAGTCATTTCTGACTCATAGCGACCCTTTGTAGGGTTTATTTGCTGTATCATATTCACTGTTGATTTTGGTTTGGTATTATTATTCCAACTCTGCTGATTATTGGCTCTGTAACAAAATTTCCAGTTTTTGCATCTAAAATAGTGGTAATCATAGAACCTATTTTCTAGGATTGTTATAAGAATAAAAGCAGATCATGAATGAAATGTGTTTAGCATAGTGCCTGGTACAGAATATGTACTGAATAGTTTGTTATTATAGGATATTATATGATTTTCCCCTCACAGATAGATGGTTTACCATTTGGCATTGCCAGAATTAAAATATTCTTAGTGTAAGCTACAAGCCTAGGTGCTATATTGAAATTTTAATAAGAATGCTGCTGGTTTTGTAGTTTGTTTTTTTTTTCCTAACAGAAAAAGACTAAGGTACCTATGTATAGCACTTAATTAGCAGGGTACATTTAGAGGCTATCAACAAAGCATAGTCACTTTTTTATTTTGTAGCAAAAGTTTTTCCTGTGAATTCAGATTTTAAGCACTAAAGTTCCTATTGTTAGATCATTGATGGTTTCAAATGGCTCCTGGAAAGAATTCCACCAGGCCTTGGATTGCACAAGAGAATACACACACCTGGAAAATCACCAAGCTTCCTGAGAGTTGTGTATCACATTTGTAATGAAGCGGTGTCTTGAGCTTCTCCCATAGTTTTCCTGCACATTTATTGTAGCATATTCAACACTCCACTAGATTGCTTGCCTGTTTTGTAGCTGCATCAGCAAGTAACAACTGCAGGCAAAATAATGAGAGCCTAGTTAAATGAGGTCAAAGTGGTTGAAATAAATTGGTGATAACTTCATGGAACCATCATTCCGAAGAATGTGCTTTCGTATTTCTTGTAGCTCAGGTCTCCTGGCAACAGTTTCTCTCAGCTTTCTTGTCTCTGAAAGCAGCCAGGGAAGAACATGTGTTGCTCTCAGGGCTGTTTTCAGGAACAATGATACGAGTGATGACAGCCTTTTTTCAGGAACAGATAGCAAGATGTCAGACAGGCAAAAAAGCTTTTTTTATTTTAACCAATAATCTATGGAATTATAATTTTTTCCCCTTTATCTATCTAATTGCTCTGTAAATGACTAATTGCAGAAAGAATAACACGATTTTTTTAGCCAAAGAAAAGGAGCACAAATTAAAGAATAAGTAAAATAGATACATTTAAAAATGAACTAAGTTAAGTTTTTGTTCATGTATTTAAAAAAAATGAATATTTCATTATCACTGTCTTTTAGCAATGAAAATTTAAAAGTAAGAGGGAAACCTGCTAAGGCTGTTGCTAAAGGAAAATGATGTCTTGGAGGAGCCTAGACAAATCATCTGTTTTTAGGGACTGATAATGTTATTTAATTAATGTTTGCCAAATACTTTATATTAGGTAGTTAATTGCATGCAATTAAATATCTATATGAAAATAATATAAAGAAATACAATTTGAGAAGGGCTATTTGTCAACGATGATCCTAAAAATTACATATTTATTTTAAATAAATATTCTGTGATAAGTATGTAATATTTGCTTATAGTTAATGAAAACCATGCCCACAGATATAAAGCGAAAATAAAAGCCCATTTCTCCTTGTCCTGTAATCTTAATTGCAACTACCCACTTTCTCATCTGTCATTCTTATCTTCTGTTGGTTTCTATTACTTTTGTTGGTAACTACTGTAAGAATTATTTTTTATGTGAAATTCTACGTTCTTGTCTATGTATTTATATATATATATATATATTTTCATGGTACAGATATGAATTCCTTGGGATTGTGAATATTCTTTTGAAATATGGAGCCCAGTTAAATGAACTTCATTTGGCCTACTGCTTGAAGTATGAGAAGTACTCAGTATTTCGCTACTTTTTGAAGAAAGGTTGCCCATTGACATCATGGAGCTATACATCTGAATTTATAAACTATGCAATTAAAGCACAAACAAAATATAAGGAATGGTTGCCCCATCTCTTGCTTGCTGGATTTGATCCTTTGAATCTACTATGCCCTGCTTGGTAAGAAATCATACCCCAGTGGACCTCAGCCTTTTTGCATAATGTATCACCTTTAATTATCGCTATTTCTGGAGATTCTTGTGTTGGGAGAAGAATGTGTGTATGTTAACTGATGGCTGGGTTTGGGTAAAGGAGGTGACGGGGCCTGCTTGAGTGTCAGCAGACAGTCTTGGGAAATAGTAAGGGTGGCTACAAGAGGATAGGAAGAGATAGATAGCTTCCAAGTTTTCTGAAAGGGGCATCTTTTCCACTTCTGGATATCCCTCACGCTCACTTTAAATGCCTGTGATAGAAGAACAACTGTTGCAACTGCTCCAGAGATAATCTCATATCCTTCATTTAACTACATTGAATAGTCCTACTCTACAGCATTTTTTCTTTTTTCTTTTCTCCTGCAGCTGAGGACATACTTGTTTTCTTTAGGTAGTTTCTTAGAAGGGTGGCCCCTCTAAGTGATTTTGTGAATGTTAGGTCAGGATTTTTCTTGAACAAGAATAGGAAGACTATTTAAAAGTTGTTAGTGTCCAGATGGAACTGAGAAGTTATTTGTAGCAGTGAGAGAGGACTCTCAACCTAATAACTGAAGAAGTCAAATGAGAACAGAAGTCTTTAGGAAAGTTGAGAAAATAGAAGTCTCTAGAACACAGAGGATATGAATATTTCATAGAACTTCTTCCATAACACATCTAGAAGCCTTGTTTTTTTTTTTTGTGTGTGTGTGTGTATGCTTCAAAAACTGCTGCCCATTAAGATATTGTTTAGACATGTACTGAGATTTTGCATTTCAACAGAAATGTTTTCTGATAATATTCTTGTTAGAACATTACATTTCAAAGAGGTCCTCTTTGGAGGTTAGTCATATAACAGCCCATGTTACCACTTGGCAGTATTGTGTTATTGTGTCTGCCATTATATGGAGTTCAGAAATTTTTGCTAAGCAGAGTTTGTGCTTAAAACTGTCATCTCTTTCTGAACTATAATGAATAAATGAGTATGTCAGATATGTGATTTATGAGGAAAAACTACTTTCTGGTAGATGGTGTGGGAAGTACTGAAGTAAAAGCAAAGTTGAGATACATATTTAGATTCCACCTTTTTCTGCTTTGCAATAGGATGCTTCCCGATGGTGTCTTTCCCTTTTCCTGTGTGCTAATCAGTATATCTTTATTCAGCAAATGCTCATTATTGCAGTTCCCTCCATATCATTTCAATTCATTTTCACTAAAATTCGTTCTACTCTTACTATACTGAATGAGACGTTAAGATTATTAACAGTTTGTGGAGAAGTCTTTGATTTCTAAGTTATTTGTATAAGCTTATTTTTCCGCCACACTATTGGGATATAGGGGACCGTGGTGGCTTGCTCTGTAGGATAAACACAAGGTCCGACTGTGAGCCACAGATTGACAGTTCTAGCCCACCAGCCGCTCCTCAGGAGAAAAATGAAGCTTTCATCTTCTGCAAAAATACACAAAGGTGGAACAGACTCAGCAGCACGTAATAGTAACAATTGAGATGTAAGCACTCAGCTAATAAATGCTGTGTCACTTGCTATTAACAAGGCTATTTGGAATACCCTTAACCATTTAGTGAATTTCATGATTGTTTTAAGACTCCCCACAGCTAGCAGTTGCTCTTTACCACCTAGGATTCACTTCCTGGCTGCTGCCGCCATTCTTACATATACATGTGGGCAGCCCTGTCATCTGGTCTTTTATTTCTTATCCTACTTTGGATGTCTGTTGTCCCCAAGGCACTCAATTTCTTCCCAGCCATGCTCCTTGTATTTCTCTACTAACTCTGACTAGAAATTTTGACCCCATACTACTTTCAACCTTCATACTCCATTCTGGATCCTCATTTTTCTGTTTCTTTAATAAATAACTTGCTTAGTGCTTAGAACTTCTTAAGCACTATTTTACATTTGCGGTGCTATAAAATAAAGCACTGGACCACAAGGTCGGTTTGAACCACAAGGTTGGTGGTTCTAACTCACGAGACACTCCTTGGAACTCCTATGTAGGGTCGCTGTGAGTCCTCACTGACTGGATGGCACTTAACAACAACTACTATTTAGCTCATTTAATATAAGATGGAATAGGTGTCATTATTATTCTTATTTTACAGAGAAGCAAGTTGAGGCACAGAGTGTTTAACGTACTTGCCTTGAGAACTCTAGAAAAGTGCTAGAGCTTACACAGGAATCCCAGTTGTCCTGTAGTGTGGCTCCAGTCTGTGCTTTTGATCACTGAACTATGCTGCCTGTGTAGTTACAGGGATTGTTCGTTGTCCATTTATGTTTAGGTTCCTCAGAAACCCTATACACGGTTGCTTGGTGTCAGAACCGTCAACAGTACTTAACAACAACAAATCTCTTGTCTAACTTGTGGGACCTAACCCAAATTTCCTTGCTCCTTAAGCTAAATGAAGGAGAATAATCCAGAAGGAAAAAAAATAAATAAATAAACAATTACATCGATCTACTCGATGGCACTGGTGTGGCGCTATGGGTTAATGCTCCAGACTGCAAAGCCATTTGAACTGCAAGGTCGGCGGTTTAAGCTCACCAACTGTTCCTCGGAAACATTATACAGGGTCGCTATGGGTCAGAATCGACTCGACAACACTTCACAACAACAACTCGATGGCACTTAACAGCAGCACTACCTATCTTTGAATTGAGAATGCCAGTTGCAGATATTTTAGTCTGGAAGAATAACTTTAGTTACTTCATATTCATTGGAAAACATACATTGGAAAAATTTCCTTTAACAGTGAAAATGCGTAACATGGTCAAATGTTTGTTCGCTGATCTTTTATGGAATGTATAAAGCCAGTGTCAAGCTGAACATGATAAATGTTTTGCTTTCTTTGATCAAATTTGTATTCAAAGAGCTGTTTTAAGAAAAATCCTCCTATAAAAATTTCAATATGCTGCTAAATTGGGTTTCATTTTATATTATTTATGTTGTTGTTTTTAAGTGCTGTTGAGTCGGTCCCAATTCAAAGCAACCCTGTATAGGGTTTCCAAGGCTTTAAATCCTCAAAGGAGCAGAGAGCCTCATTTTTCTCTTGCAGAGTGACTGGCAGGCTTGAACTGAAGATCTTGTGGTTTGCAGTCCAGTGTTTATTGTGTGGAGCCACCTCACTCTCATCTTACTTATTTCACACATCAGTCTGTTGCCTGATCTTTGCCATGGAAATTCTAAATGTCTTTCCTGTGTATTGCTTGTCTTAAACAGTCTTAAAAATGTATCTGGCTGAATAATTGCCTGTCATTATAACCCGCAAAGTTTAAATATTTTTTCAACTTTAAATGCAAGACTAGGTTTTCCTCTCCTTGGAACGTAATGGGAGAATAATAGAAAGTAAATGTCATTTGTACATTTAGTTGATTAACTGTCACTCATTTATGATTGCACAACTGCTTTGTACAGCGTAATGGGCAGTGTAGTGCACTAACAATCCATTTTTAGTGGCATTATCAGTGTTGGTGAAATAAACTTACCATTATATTAACTAAAGCTGTGCAAACAGATTGGCTTCTCATGTGTGCTCAGATAACTGCATCAGCATCACTCTGTGTTTGGTCACAGTCAGACCTAAAGCACATCAAGGCAGAAAAATAAAACCAGTACAAAAGAAATAAGGATCCCCAGAACCAAGGAACCTTCGGTGTAGGACTCCTAGAAATTCAAGCAGATTGCCTTGGATACATTTTTATCATTTAATTTGTAATTTATTTGCAGTATTTTCTAATAAGATGTGATTTCAACGAGAGCTTCCAGAAAAAAAAAAAAATGCTATCCCAAGGGACTTGTACTACACTTTAAGTTTTTCCCTATATATGTTTGCATATTGGAGAATTAAAAATTTGGGAAGAATTTTCATACTTTCTAATTAATCGCATTTCAAGGATATTTACTTCCCAGTTATCAAAATTAAGGTTTTTTTGACATGACAGATTTAAAGTATTATTCCATTTTTTCCTTTCTATCGTTTTTTCATTTCTTAATACTTGACAACAACAATAATAATACTTGATGAATAATTGAAAAAAAATACAACAACAACCAAAAACCCCATTCCTGCCATAGCATTCTACACATATTGGAATCAGTGATTTATTGCAATAACTACACTGAACTCAGAGACAATACTTGTATTTATACAGTATATTGTTGTTGTTGTTAAGTGCCATCGAGTTGGTTTTGATTCATAGTGACCCTGTGTAGTTTCCGAGGAGGAACTGGTGGGTTTGAACTGCTGACCTTGTGGTTTGCTGTCCAGTGCTGATTCTGCAGCACCACACCAGGAATCCATAGGGTATATTAGGGAAGTTCAAAGGTAACAATTCAGGGGCAGAAGCATTCAGGACGCACAGTGGTTTCCAGTCAGGACAACCTCTTATCAGCCAGGCTTATAAGCAGTTGTCTCTGCCTGGAAAACCAAGCTCTTTTAGAGCTGCTGATAAATGCTCTAAGTCACTCCACTCCACTATAAGCTTCAGCCCAGATACTCTTGGCTTTGTGCCATGGGTCAGCAAACCCGACTCTGCAAGCAAGCTTCCTGCCCAAAGTCACTCAGCTTTACTTGCTCCATGGACATGACATGCCCACTGCTTTGTCTCATGATCTGTATCTTGGTTCTGTTGCTACTGCTTTTCTGCCACTCCTCTTACGTCTTTCTGTCTCTGGGTTAAGGAGATTCAATGTGCAGGGATAAAGGAACACTCCCTTCCTGGCTCTTCATTTTTTATGGTAGTGAGATTTCCCCCTTCCTATTTCTGAGATGCTCATTTTGTTGTTTATTATTATTTTTTAATGCTTTATTGTGAACTATGTGATAGTTCACATGGGAGGACATCAGCTTCACGTTGATCCCGTCGCACATCGTTTCCTTGGTATGGTCACAATCCCCTCCATGCATCATTGACCAACCAAAGGGTACACCCCGCAAGCCTGCCCCCCCTCCCCCCTGTCGTCTGCACACTGCCCCTTTCCCTCTCCAGGTCCAATGTCTCCAGCCGATCCATCTCCCCACGTCTCTGCACCATCCCTGGCATCACTGCTTCTCTGGGTAGGGTCCCGTTCTCTGCTCTTCTCCTTCGATGGTCCCAGGGACCTCCGTTCGTAGACTGCAAGGTTAATCACTCCCCTCCCTTTGCCCCAAAACGTCCACGTTTACATTTCCAGCCCTTACAATCAGTCCTAATAACAATTATTTGCTATTGTGTCGCAATGGACCTATCTGCATGAGATGCTCATTTTGGAGATGGTACAGTTTCAGGTTTTTACAAGCACAAACTTTGTTAACCACTTACAACTGAATCAGGCAATCCTATCAGCACCTTCTCCCACTTTCTCTTACCCAGACCCAGCGGGGCAAAAATGTTGAAGAAATTCACTGCACTGCAGAAATGTCTAAAAAAAATTGCTGGCACTTTTTAAAAATGAACTTAAGAAGTTCTGTATTTGTAGTTTTTAAAAAACTACAGGCCTAATCATTTTATTCTTCTTTAAATGGTATGATGGTATAAGAGTATCTAAATGTGTGTGAGATGGGTAATCTTATTAGAATTTAGATTTCTCTTTAAGCTTTGACTAAATTTCATGTGTATAATATCCTGAGGCTGACTGAAAATGTTATTATACTTAAGTTTCAAACCAGGTCTAATAATAATAATAAATATTTTTATAACATTTTATAGTTTAAAAATATGTTTACTATGCTATCTTACTTTATTTTCAGAAACAGTCTTTTAGAGACGAGGATCTAGGCCTTATGAAATTTAAGTAGTTTCCAAGTAGTAGAGGTGGTATTGAAATCAGAACGTCTCGTATGTCAGTGTTCTTTCTCTTCGGATTCAAGTGTATATAAAATTTGGGAAAGCCTGTTTTGAGTGGCTTGTAGGAAATCTGGGATTATTTCAAAAGCACAAAGGAAGAATTGTTTATTTTGAACCCCTACTTTCAGTCCTTAAAGGCAAATCTTATTCTACTATATTATTTAGGGCTGGGTCAGTAGTGGGAAAGGTCTTACTGGAGAACAGTTGTATGTCCTGGGGATTCTACAGAAATAAACCATCTTCAGTACATTCTGTTTAGGAATAACCTTGGATGCTTGAGCTTTATACATTTCAGGACTGTTAGATGACATGTCTGTAAGGGTAGCCAATCTAGATTTGGCAAGACGATCTGGTTAGAAGGAAATGATCATAAATCCAGTGATGATACTGACATTATCTCTGTGTTTCTTCTTACCACCGCTTTTGGGAAATAGAAGGAAAGTTCCTATCCTCCTAGAACATAGAGATTCCTCTTGTAATCAGCTGGGTAAATAGACACATGGCTGATTCAGTTTCTTTTAGGAACCTGTAGGTGATTATTCATATCCACTGAGCTTGCCTCTAGTTACACAAATGCTTTCTTTGTCCTAGTTTTTTGCCTTCCTTCTTCATTAAGATGTTGTGAGAATACGTATGTAGTATCTGTTGCTATGGTAAACCTTTAGAATATTTTGTGTCTAATGGCATGTTAATATCTTGTTAATATAGGGTTAACTCAGTCAGCGATGATATCCTTATTTTCATGTTGGAGTTTACTAATTGGAAAAGACTTCCGCCAACTGTTGAAAAGATGCTCTCAGTTCGTGCCTCACATTTCTCTAGGGTTCGACAGCAACATATTGGTAAGACAGTATGTGTATATATGTTCATTCAGCCTGG